TCCCCCAATTATTTTTTTGTCCCCCAATTTTCGTTTTTATCCCCCAATTCCCCTCTCAGCAGCCTCCAAAGCGGCGCTGGGGTCGTAGCGCGGAGCGTTGGATGCGAAGGGTTGTAGCTTGGACAAAGGCAGTAGGATGACGATGACTGGTGTCCCCACCCCAACCACTTTGGACTTCGGGGTGTCGTTAACCAGCTCGTTAACCAGCTCGTTAACCAACCAGCTCGTTAACCAGTCCCTCTGGTCCTCTCCTCCCCAGTTCTGCCTTCGCTGTCGGCAATGGCATCGGAGATCCTCATGGCGAAGCCCCTCTGCCTCGTGGAGAACCACCCGAGGAAGGGGCTGGTGGTTCAGCAGGAGGCCCTGAAGGTGCTGTCAGAGGTGACCCAGCCGGTGGTGGTGGTGGCCATCACAGGGCTGTACCGCACCGGCAAGTCCTACCTCATGAACAGGCTGGCTGGTAGGAGGAAAGGTGAGGGAGATCCCAACCTGGAGGTCCAGGGGACTTGGGTTCTCCTCCTCTCTCCAGTGGTGAGGACCTCGCAATCCTCCCCACAGGTTTCTCCCTGGGCTCCAGCGTGCAGTCCCACACCAAAGGGGTCTGGATGTGGTGTCTACCTCACCCCCGCAAGCCTGGACACGCTCTGGTGCTGCTGGACACGGAAGGGCTGGGCGACGTGGAGAAGGTGAGGAAGGAGCATTTTGTCCCAACATTTTGTCACCCAAATGAGCAGAATCCAGGGGTTTCCAGCATCTGGGGTGACCTTCAGCCTGTGGGGTGGAAGGAGCCAGAGGCCATGGGGAAGGAGGTTGGGGTAGATAGTTGGGGGGATCTCCTCAACGCCTCTAAATACTTCAAGGGGGGGTATCAGGAGGATGGGGACAGTCATCTTCTTCCAGTGGTGGCCAGTGACAGGACCAGAGGGAACGGGCACAAAGTTGTTCATCAGAAGCTCCATCTAAACAAGGGGAAGAACTTCTTCACTTTGAGGGTGGCAGAGCCCTGGAAGAGGCTGCCCAGAGAGATGGTGGAGTCTCCACCTCTGGAGAACATTCCAAACACCCCTGGACACGGACCTGCTCTGGGTGGACCTGCTCTGGCAAGGGGGGTTGGATTAGATGATCTCCAGAGGTCCCTTCCAACCCCATCTCTGTGATTCGGTGATTCTGGGAGGTGAGGATGAGCTCACCCAGACAAAGGGGTGGGGGTGGGGGTCTCCAAAAGCTGGTCCTAACCATGGCCTGTTGGAAAAGAGCATGCAGGGTCTGGGCATGTGGGGCTTTGCTGATACTTGTTGACTCGTTGACTCAAAGACTCGTTGATTCATTGACTCATTGACTCGTTGATTTGTTGATTCGTTGACTCGTTGACTCATTGACTCGTTGACTGGTTGACACGTTGGCTCATTGACTCGTTGAATCGTTGACTCATTGATTCGTTGACTCATTGACACGTTGACTCATTGACTCGTTGACAGGTTGACACATTGACTCATTGACACGTTGACTCATTGACTCGTTGACTCATTGACTCATTGACTGGTTGATTCGTTGACTCATTGACTCGTTGACTGGTTGACACGTTGACTCATTGACTCGTTGACAGGTTGACACGTTGACTCATTGATTCGTTGACTCATTGACACGTTGACTCGTTGACACGTTGACTTGTTGACTGGGTCTTGTTGACCAAGAGCCAAGGGCTGTTCCTCCAGGGTGACACCGAGAACGACACCTGGATCTTTGTGCTCACCCTACTGCTCTCCAGCACCCTCATCTACAACAGCAGAGGCACCATTGACCAACAAGCCATGGAGCAGCTGCAGTATCCTTGGTGGGACAGCAGGAACCAGGGATGGGCTCCTCTCCCGGGGGGCTGGGCAAGGGGTTGGCCAAACCCTAGTTCCTCAAACAGCCTTCTGGTGGTGTCCGTGGAGGTGCTTGGTGTCCTTAGGAGTCCCCACGCCGGGGACCTCTGGGCTGAGGGCTTTTCTCCCTCTTCCTTCTGGTGGTTCTCCATCCCCGTAGAGTCTCCTCTCTCGCCCCATGAGGTGGTTGCCTTCAGAGCCGAGGTGGTTCCTTAACCATCTCCCCAGCTACGTGATGAAGCTGACCGAGCAGGTCAGGTTGAAAGCGGCTCCTGGGCAGAGTGAAGAGGAAGAGGAGGAGGAAGATCCAGAAGAAGTTGCCCCTTTCTTCCCGGCTTTCGTCTGGACGGTGAGGGATTTCAGCCTGCGGCTGGAGATGGACGGGGAGACAATCTCCGAGGACCAATACTTGGAAAAGGCGCTGGCGGTGAAGAACGGTGAGGGGATGGTGGTGCTGTGCTGCTGGAGACCTCCAGCCTCAGGTGTTTTGGTGTCCATCAAGGAGACCCTGAGCCTGAGGAACTTGCTCCGTGTCCTCTTGTCCCACAGGAACCAGCTCCAAGATCCGACGCTCCAACCAGACCCGGGAATGCATCTGCCAGTACTTTCGGGATCGCAAGTGCTTCGTTTTTGACCAACCGGCCCCCAAAATGGACCTGGAGCGCTTGGAGGAGCTTGGGGATGAGGAGATCAACCCCGAATTCCAGCAGCAGGTGGAGAAATTCTGCGGCCACGTCTGGGAGAACTCTCCACCTAAGACCATCCTTGGTGGCCGCGTCATCACGGGGAGCTGTGAGTAGGGCTGGATGGGCAGCAGCTCTTGGGGTTGCATCTGGAGAAGGATCCAACCATGCAGGTGGGGAGAGGGAGAAGCTTTCTCCTGGTTGCCCACCCCACCTCTGGAGTTGGAGCTCCTGGATGTTGCGATCCAGAGGTGGGAAAGGGTCAGGAGAAGAGCAAGGAGGTGGCAGGAGCTGAAGGGGAGCTGGTGGTTTGTCCCAGGCTGCAGATCTCTCACCCTTGGTCCTCCTTGGCAGTGCTGGGCAAACTGGCAGAGACCTACGTGAAGACCATCCGGAGCCGGGAGGTGCCGTGCCTGGAGAGCGCGGTGCTGGCCCTGGCACAGACCGTCAACGCGGCGGCGGTGAAAGAGGCTGTGAAGTTCTACCAGGACCTGATGGAGCAACGGGTGAAGCTGCCGACGGAGACGGTTGAGGAGCTCCTGGATCTGCACAGCCAGTGCCAGCAGGAGACACAAGAGCTCTTCCAGAAACGGGCGTTCGAGGAAGACATCTGCTCTTTCCAGGAAGATCTTACAGTAGGTGGTCCTCAGCCCAGCCAGGAGTCGTGTCCTCCACCACCCCTTGGGACACCACCATCTCCTGAGCTTTGGGGGGAATAGCGTGGTCCTGGGGTGGTCAGGGCTCTTCATGGAGATGGTTGTTGGAAGCCTGTAGCCTCCTACGTTTCTCCTGTCCTATTGACTAAGTCTTGTCCCCGTCTTTTGGGAGGTTTTGGGGTTTTTTTGGTGGTTTTCCCCAACGTGAGGATGGGCTGACGCCTTCCCTCTGCGTCTTTCCCCCACAGCGCCAGGTGGAGGAGATCAAGGAGAAGTTCCTCAGGGACAACGAGCAGGAGTCCAGCCACAAGTGCAAGGCTGCTCTCAGGGACCTCTCCCGAGATTTGGACAGAAAACTCAAGGATGGGGTCTACAACGTGCCAGGAGGTTACGAGCTCTTCAAAGGAGACCTGCAGGCCCTGGTGGAGAAATATCAGGAAGCTCCTGGCAAGGGGGTGATGGTAGGAACAAGAGCTTCAGCCTGGAGAAGAAGCTCCATGTCCCATCCCCTTCCCCCCCAAAAAAACAGTTTTCCCTGAGCTGCTTCTTCTCTCCTTGACTCCTCTTCTACCTGTGGGTCTCCAGGCCGAAGTTGTCCTGCAGAAGTTCCTCCAAAGCAGAGAGGATCTGGATGAAATGGTCTTCAAGACAGACCATGCCCTGGCAGAGAAGGAGGAGGAGCTGAAAAGTAAGTTCCGGGCAGGAGACATCTCACTGCCTGTCAAGACCCAAGCTGGGTGGTGGTGGGGAGGTCACCAGGGCTCCTCGGGTGCCCGTGGGCTCGGCTCCTGCCCTTGGAGCACCTCTGTTTCATGGAGTCACAGGATTGTCAGGGTTGGAAGGGACCTTCTAGAGATCATCTGGTCCAACCCCTCCTGCCAAAGCAGGGTTGCCCAGAGCACATCACTCAGGAGCATCCAGGAGGGGCTTGAAGATCTCCAACATCCTTCAACCCACCCTTGAGATACTTCTAAATAAGGTCTCCCCTCAGCCTCCTCTTCTCCAGGCTGAAGACCCCCAACATCTCTCAGCCTTTCCTCACCAGGGAGATGCTCCAACCCTTGAACCATCTTGGTTGCCCAACGTTGGACTCTCTCCAGCAGTTCCCAGTCCTTCTTGAACTGGGAGGTCCCAGAACTGGACGCTGGATTCCAGTTGTGGCCTCACCGGTGTAGAGTAGAGGCCACATGGGACAATGGGGACAATGACCTCCTGGCCACACTCTTCCCTAGGATCCCGTTGGCCTTCTTGGCCACAAGAAGACCTATTGTTGGCCCATGGCAAGCGTGTGCTACCACCCAGGACTCCCAGCTCTTTCTCCTCAGGAGAGGAACCTTCCCAGAAGATCTTTGAGGTCCCTTCCAACCTTTCTATGGTCCTCTCCATCCGTTTCTCCATCCCCAGGGGTTCGAGAGCAGCAGGAGAGAGCCGAGGAGGA